GAAGGCCACGTGCTTTTGCTATCATCCTGCCGAATACCCATGTATCTGTCACATCATGCCAGATAACAAGAATTTATTATTCTCAATAACGGCTTATTTTTGATATGTATAGAATAGTTGCTATTAAACTCATATTATTCTTGGATTATTATTACTATCTAAAGAAGTCGATTGAGATCGATATTTATTTTTGATGCGTTTATGAATTGTCTTTATATAGAAAGTTTGAGTTTTCACATAAATTTTCTGAACTGCACGTACATATAGTGTGGAATATTAAAGATATTCAATCTTTTTCTAGAGATAAAGCACAATGTACCCTATAGAACCAAACTTTACAACATGCATTTAAGAACAGTATTTAGAAAAGGTGCCCTGTAGCATTAATTCTTACTTTCCCGAAACCCGCCTTCCCGAAATACTATTTCCCCGATCCCATAATACTGACCTCCCTTTTTTCTGACAAGACATATTTCTGTCAGTACATTTCACTGACTGAAAAAAATTTTACCGAATTTTTTTTTTCCCTACACAGCCAATTCCCGACAACCTGAACTTCTGAAAAAAATTTATTCGAAACCTTTTCACCGACAAATATTATATGATAAATTTCACGAAAATTCTCAACAAGGTATCTCTCGATTGTATGCTTAATGCTATTTGACATTAACTTTTCCCGGTTAACTTTAAAAGACAATATAAGAATCACTATATACCTTTTTTTATATGGTTTTACCACAATCCAGAAAGACCAGATTCCCGAAAGGACCCAACACCGACAAAGTTAGCCAGCATTGGTTATAATGTTGGCCAATTTAGTCGGTATTATGTTCTTTCGAGAAAATGGATTTCAGGATTTTTATTGTAGAACCTACAAGATCCTGAAAAACAGATTTCCGTAAGTATCTGATACCTATAAAGTTAGCCGGCATTGGTTAAAATGCTGGCCTATTTAGTCAGTAGGTATTATGTTCTTTCGGAAAAGTGGCTTTCAGATTTTGTGGTAGAACTATTTTGGTTTATCAAGTGACCCAGAATTAATAAGAATGGCTGTAAATTCGGTAAAACATCCTTTTGTAAAAGAGCTTCCAGTAAGATATTTTCGAAGAAATAGAATGCAAAAAATTGTACCATTCGGTAAAATAGCATGTCAGTAAAATAGGCATTCATTTTTTTAATATTCGGTGAAATGAAAATTGCAGATAAATGACTCATCAGTAAAATTCATTTTCAGTTAAATGAACTTTCGATGGGATTTTCGAAATTATGTCTTGTTAGTAAAATGGGACGTCAGTATCGTGACTTCGGTGAAATGGTATTTCAGTAAAATTGATTTCGGAAGTTAATGATAATATTTAACATTTAATAGTAATTTCATAAATTAAAAATTAATTTTATTTGGTTTAATGCGTAGTAATGGTGCTGACTTAAAAGAAATAAAATTATTAAGCTTTTCACAATAATGATAATTATACAATTTTTAACGGCATTATTTTGTAAACCCACATCATGTTATTACCTGAATTTTTTTTTTTTTTATCTTGATTGCCTTTTATTTAATTTCTTGATATAGTCAGTTTCTTCATTGTATTACCTTTATTTAATTTCTTGATATAGTCAGTTTCTTCATTGTATTACCTTTATCTTATTTCTTTCACACAATATTTGGAGTCATTGTACAATAGGTAAACCTTTTAAAATAAATTTCAGCCATCCCTTTTTAACACAAAATAATCAAATTATAATAATGTTACGAGTAGCTTGTGGGGAAGACATGTTTAGTAATTGACATGCATCATTTTGAAGTCATGTTTCAAGTTTTATCATTAATACAATGGCTTTGAGTGTTTTGTTAAAAATTGTTTGTACTTAGGAGGAAAATATAGTTGGGTAACTTATATTAGTTTAATTTTGGAGATGTAACTTGTGTAAGTTATCTTTTTTTAAATTTTTTTCAACAATGCTCTCATTTTAGAATATTTGGTAATTAATAGTCTATGAAAAATTTACAAAATTTCTAATAAATAAATGTTATTAGCTAGCAGTCTGCTAAGTAGATTCTAAAAAGCACTTAAATTGAAACGAGATTTTAAATTCACTCAAAATTGATAAAAATTCAAACAAATGTAGTTTAAATTTCAAGTCTAAACGTATTCAAAAAATATTAAAATTTTAATAATATATTATGAACAGTGTAGTGTTTGGTACCGTATTAATTCTAGTTTTAAAAACTGGACTGCATAAACTGTTCAATTAGAACTAAGTTCAATTTCTTCCAATCTACCATGTTTAGCCTTCACATTATTGATTTCACTGGTTATAAGTTTTATATAGTTGGTCTTAAACGCATGTACTAATAGTAAATTAGTATATAAAAAATATCTACTATCTTACTAATCAAATTTCAAATCCAATTAATCTTGTTCACTAGAATGGACGATGCATTTCAATGGCTAATACTGAATTACATCATCATAAATAAAAATGAGCTTGAAACATTATAAGTGTTCACGTTGATTCTTGAAATGCATAAATAAAATGCTTTCATTTCCTTTTGCAAAATACTGTAAAATGCAATATTTGAAAGATTTTATTTTTTTAAAAAAAATAACCAGTGTTCTTACATATGTCAAATAATTAGGATTTGTATAATCATTAAATCTACATATATTGTTGTTTATGATTCATATTAATATAAAGAATTGATGTATCATTTTCCAATCTGTTAAAATTATATATTAATAATTAAGAATATTTATAAAATTAATAATAATGAATTTCATATCAAATACTACGATGAATTATGATATTTAAATTAGTCTCAGGACTGATGTAATTTAGCAAATCCTATCTGGTTATTATACCAATCATAAACACTATATACATTCTTTAAAAAAGTGGTACCAAGGATCCATTCATTAATTATTGCTAAATGTATTTTAACTTTATTAATAAAGATATACTTTAATAAAATTTAATAAAATTATGTAAATACTATACGTACCAATATCACCATTAGAGTATCCAATTATCATTCCAGTGCATATTTTTTGATTTTCTGATTGTTTAATATTTATTAAATCTCTAGAATCAATATCCCAATCAGCACCACCGATTTTTATTTTAACAGTAATGTTACTTTCACAAGGTATATCGAAAGTTCCATAATTCTCTGTGGCATTAGGAATTTGTTGATAAATTTGACGGGCATCGTCTAATGGCATAATAATCTTTGATATTCCTGAAATAATTATTCCAGTATAATTTATAAATCCTAATGATTTAAAGAGTGAAAAGGGTTGAGTATCTTTCAGAATAATCAAGATCATTCATAAAATGGTCAACCTCGATCGGCCGCCCGGGCCGGCCCTGACCCGAGATTTTTTCATCGGCCCATATAACTAATCATGACCATAAATGAATATTCGGTCATTCAGTTAAATTGGGTCTGTTCTAATTTAACGGAAACGGATTCGGCGTTTATATAAATAACCCATTTTGGGGGTTGATTTCTAACCCTAATACTAAGAATTTCAGAATCCACTTAAATTCCATTTCCACTTACAACATGATTTGCACGTTATTTCGAATACGACCATGTGCGTTAGTCAACCTTCCATAAATGCACATGTTTGATAAAAGTGTATTTATAGAATTTTCACGGAGTATGAGTACTGCCAAGGAAAACCCAGAAACTCTTAATTTTTGGAAACTCCGCTTTTATAAACAGACAATATAAATTCTTATAAGATGTTCCTGAAAATGAAATTTCGGAAACTAACAATTAGGTTTTCACTTAGCAGCGCTCATATAAAATTAAATAACTGATCGATCAAAATATGTGCACTTATCATTGTAGGGGAAAGTGCATGTGATGTGCATTTATATGGAAGTTATTTTTTGAAGGACCCGAATTTCAAAATAACTTTCAAGAGCGTTATTTCCGCTTATATAGTACATATTTGATTCTAATTTTTACGTAATAAGAAATGATAAGTTTTATGACATATGCAAAATTTAATTGATCACAGATTATTTTATCCAGAATACATTTGAAAATCGTAATTATCATTAGTCATAAATAAAGAATTGGTATTAATACGTAAATGTAAAAAAAGTAATTATGGCTTAAATACGGACGATCAATTAAAATATTTAACCTGATACGCAGTTTTCCTTATCTTTAAAAATGAGCAGAATTGGCTAGAATCAAATATTCAACATATTCTACAAAATTTAAAGATTTAAAATTTTTTTTTTACATATACCTTTTAATTCACCATGCAAATTTGGCATATATTTATCTTAATAATAGCGTTATCTCATAAATTTTCTAAATCAAACACAATTCCACTAAAGAAAAATTCAATTTTTGAGCCGCCGCCCAATCTTCTAGAACCTATAACGTACCTTTAATAAATGAATTTGGTAAAGATAAATTTTATTATTGTGAAATTATTCTCGGAGAAGATAAATTCAACCAGACTTTCAAAGTAATGATTGATACTGGATTTGGTGATTTTTTAATTCCATCCACTAACTGTACTGATTCATTTGACAATAAAACCAGATATAATCCAGGAAATGGTTCATCTTTCAGTACAAGAAATGTACCTTTTAGTTATATTTATTTAAATGGAGATGTAGTTGGAATAAAGGCTAGTATTTTTTCTATGGATATTGGGGGATATATAGGATTTTGGATTAGTTAATAAGTTTTCTGATATTTATAGAATAAATGAATTTGATGGTATACTCGGGTTGGCCAAATATAATGAATTTATAAAGGAGCATCAAACTAGTTTTTATGAAGTATTAGTCGTGATTTTAAAAATAAAAGATTCTCATTAAAGCTTGGGAGAGATGCAGATAAAACGGACAGTGAATTAACAATGGGCGACGAGGATAAAAGTAAATATATTGGTAACCTTACCTATGCACCAATGGCTCATCGCAATTCTAGTAATTGGGCAATTCATATTGATGATTTCACTATAAATAACAAACACCGATTGAAAGTTATTCAGATTCAATTTGATCTTTTTTTTTTTCTGGACCTAATAGGAGATTCGTATTCAATGTTGTCTTATTGTCTACATTCCGAAGATATCCGGCCGATATTTTCCGGGGTGCCCGCACTAGTCAATCATCATCATTGATCTATTACCATAAAGGTGATCCGGGTTGTGGCGCAGGTTGGTTTCGGGAAATTAGCCCTAGGTGCCGCACAAAAAATGCGCAGCAGATCCTCGATTTTGATTGGCTAACGGCCGAGGATCTTCAAAATTTTGGCCCGCATTACATAATAGTTTACTAATTTCCGGCCGAAATTAACTTTTTGATTTTTTCATTACAAAAATAGATATTTTTAAGAAATAAGCCCGCATTATGGTAAAATTGACCCAGAACAATTTTGACTTAGTGGGTGCCTGCGATTTCATTAGTAATATTATGAGTAATTCCGGCCTAATTTTTTGATCGTCGCTCTTAGCCAATCAAAATCGTGGATCTGCCGCGCATTTTTTGTGTGGCACCTAGGTTGGGAATGCACGAATTTATATTAAATTCGCAGAACAGTGTGGTATAGGGAGCAGATTAGTATAGTATAGGCCGATTTCAAATATATACTATACGGATCAAGTACGTATTATATACATCAATAATAGTTTCTATAATTTTGCAAATCAGTATAGTATAATTTTGAAAGATTGGCCTATACAATACTGATCTGCTATAATTTCCGTAGATGATCATTTTACTTGATGGTACGGGAAAAAATGATACGGACATTACGGTAAAGCGGTGGCACTTTTGTCACGTAATACAGAATGGCACGTATTGAACGATACGTGTCTCATGAGTGAAGAAACATTAATTTTTTTTTTTTTGGAAAAAAGTACAATATCTCAAATTTTACAGATTAAATTGTTCTGGATGTTTTAACGAAAAAACCCTTGCAGAGTTTAAAAATATGCAAATTACTTTAATTTCAATACGTATTATATTGATGATTATTGATATAAATTTATGTTTTAGTATGTACTGTATATTTGTTATTATAGTGGTACTTGTTTATTTTTTTGTTGGCTCTTTTCATCCATTTCTAAAACGGGAGATAATATCTTAAAAAACAATTTTATACTATTTATTTCCTCTTAATAAGACAGTTTAAATTGTTAAAATTGGATCATTAGATCACGAGATATTTTCAAAAAAATTATTTGTAATACACAAAATTTCTATATAAAACTGACGGCAAATAGTTTTTTTTACAAATACCTTGTAATATACTGTCGTAATCCAAAGTTAACAATTTTAGTACTATTTAAACTATGAATTGAATAGTGCTAAAATCATTTTATTCTGATTATTAGATATCAAGATTGTTAATTTTTATAATTAGTATTTAAATATTAATATCTTATGATCTAGTAATTAAAATTTAATAATTTTAGTAGCATTCAATTTGTCTCAATAAGGTAGTTTAAATAGTATCAAAATTATTAAATTTGGATTACTAGATTATAAATAATTAAAGATTTATTATATTTATAGATTTGTGTAAATCTAACTAGAATTAGAGTTGAAAAAGGTAAGAATAAAGCATTTATTTTATTAAATATCAGCAAAATAGAGAGAATACCTGCAAATGCAACTGGAATTGGTGTTAAAAAAGTTCAAATTTGTAATATATGCATTATTTGCCAAATATTTTAACTATAAAGCTTCCAAATTGCTTCAAGAACTGATGTTATAATAAATTTGATTTTTTTTTGTTGTATTTAAGATACTTCATGAATATTACTAAATAAATATAGAATATTTGAGCTTATGACTATAATAAAATGGGAATTGATTGGCATTTTAATCAAAATCTTCAGAATAGATGATATTAGTAAAACATATAGGGTGCCTCATATTAAAATGGCCCATTTTGACATATACCTTATTTTGAGATAATTGAGTTTAATCATTTATTTTGATTTTCAGACTGATCTGAGATTAATCAGATTTCACAATTTTGATTGGTTAAATGCAACAGGTGACTATCGGGTGATCCTGCAATGTGCTTGGCCTTAGGCAGTCTTGTAAATTTTTTTTTACATTATCTCCATTTTTCACTATGCAAATCGACTTTCATTTATAATTGAAAAATATCAATTATGTCAAAATTTACATGAATTTAGTAAAAACTCATTTTTCGAAAAATTGTAAAATGGGACCTTTTAATATAAGACATCTATATGGGCTTGGTGCTAAGAAAAGGGTGTAAATTGATGATTTTTTAAAAAGATGCTTTTTGCATAAATCAATTTAAAATAAAATTAGAATAATTCTTCACTTAAGATACAAAAGTAGTTGTATTAATAAAATTTTTCAGTATAGCTTCTTAAAATTTGCATTTTCTTATAATTTATTATAAAATTTACAATATAAAAATTGATTTTCTAAAAATCTTTTTTTTGGCAATTTTCATCCTTTTCTTAGCACCAAGCCCATATTATAAAGACAACTCACAATTAGTATTATGTAATATGTATGAAATATATATAATTATACATATAATATATGTAATTTTATAGTTGCTGCAACAAAATTAAACTGGCAAATTCTTAGTTAAGAGCAATAATAAAGAAATTAGGCTGTAATTAAATCATAGTAGTCTATTAAGTGAAATTGTTTCTTGACCAATTTTACTATAATGTGGGCTTATTTTTTAAAAAGTTTTATTTTTGTAATAAAAAAAATTAAGAAGTTAATTCTGGCCAAAAATTAATAACTAATTTTCTAATGTGGGCCAAAATTTTAAAGATTTTTAGCTATTAGCTAATCAAAATTGAGAATTTGCTAGTTTAATTTTGCTATAGTAGCTATAGTTAATATTTTATACAATTATATATATGATTTTTTAATGCTATAATGTAAGCTAGAATTTTAAACCAATTTCAGAATATTTTAAAACTTACTAAAAAATTCTAAAATATTTATATATATATAGAATATATATAAAATTCAAAAATTTTGCCAATTGATACAATACTACTTGCAATTAAGTCTTTGGTTAATATTATTTTCTGTATTTAAACAACAAATAAAATGAATAATATACATTAAAGTAGCAAATTTGAATTTTTTTTTTTTTTGTCAATTTAGCAATTTTGCCAATATTTTATTATATATAAATATTTAAACTCCCAAGTAAAAATGTAATTTTGACTATAGTTACCTAAAGTCCATCTAAGTTACAAATATTGACTAATTCAGCTTTTTGTGATACTGAAGTATCCAAATTACCCATGTTTGATCTGCTATAGTAAAGTTTTATCTCTATATTAAAAACCCTACAAATAAATTCTTCGATACATCACTAAATAGTGTTTATGGCCTATCAAGATTACCTTCTTTCCTAACCTTTTTTTCCTAGCTACCCAAGCAAAAGGATTCATAGTCTCCAACTAACTTATGAAAAAAAACTAAAACTAACAAAGATAAAAAGAACAAAACGAAAGAGAAAAATAGAAAAAATGCTTAAGCAACAAGAAAACAAATAAAAAAAACAAATAAAAGAAGAAAAAAAGGTAGCAAAAAAATAAATTTATTAAAGCACTATTATAGCCCATGCCAAACACAGTTGTAAAAATTATATACCTAATTAAATTTAAACAAAACTAATTTTTAAATTTAAAAATCTTGTATATCTCTGTTATAAAACTAAGCCTTATCATTAAAATTTCTTCCAACTATCATATCCAATCTGAGTTGGTTCATTAACCAGAGTGCTGATTAGTTCATCACGTAGTATAGGCTATTATTGCCAAAACAATTCTGAGTTTATGTCTTACTTTGTCTGTCTAAAAATGGAAAGTGTAAGCAATGCTGATCTTTGGAGGGGGTAAGCTGAAATGCCACTTTTTTGTTCAAAATTTTGGTAAGATTAGCAAAATACAAAAGAGAAAAAAAACATCTAGAACTACTAAAAGAGTATGAGTTTTCTTTTACTAGAATCAACTATACACTCAAGTCTGTACAGTACTAAGTCTTTTTGGTGAGTAATAAACTCTAAACTTGTCAACAAGTAGCATATAAAAACTACTTCTAAATGACAAGTGCTATGCCTCTAGATAGTAAGTAATAAACTTTAATACTGTTAGCAGGTAGTATATAAGAACTATCTCTAAATAACAGCTACTGATTTAGAGGTTCCTTTTCCCATATCTTATATGAGAGTTATCAACTTTACTTTAGTGTACTGTTTTATTTTCTAGTAAAAAGTTTTTTAGAAATTGTGATCTAAATAATTGTCAAAAAAAGTAACTTAGTAGCAAATCTGTTTTAATGAATTTATTTTTAAATAATATTTAGTTTAAAAATTATAAAAAGTTTTTTAGAAATTGTGATCTAAATAATTGTCAAAAAAAGTAACTTAGTAGCAAATCTGTTTTAATGAATTTATTTTTAAATAATATTTAGTTTAAAAATTATAATTGAATTACTTGAAGTTAATTTTTGATTTAGTGTGTAGTAGAATTTAAATAAATATCTTATTGTATAAAAAATATAGACCAATTTTTATTTATCATAAATAAAATGTAATAATTTCAAGCAAGGTTTTAACTTTAGATAGCCTAATTCTAATTTTGTATACATATAAATATTATTTATTTTTTTATTTTTTATTTTCTGTATTTAAAATAAGGAAAATTATAGATGGCAATCTATATAATCAACCAATTACATAGTCGATCATATAAGGGTGCACCATTTTACCAAATTAGCATTTCAATCTAGATTAGATCTAGATAAGGTTTCATTTGGTTTGTTTTTTTTTCAATTTGCTTTTTCTGTTTTTC